AAAAAAAAAAAAAAAAAAACGGTTAAAAAAATAAATAAAACCGAACACAGTCAACTGCCTCAACTCCCCTCTTTGTCCCTTCCCACCTTCTTCACAGCACTGCAGGGGTAAGGGCGGGAGGCAGTGCCCTGGGGGGCAGGCGCAGGCGCTCTGCTGCCTAAGAGCCAGGCAGGCGCAGAAGGTCCCTGAGGTGACCAAGAAATGTACTTTGAACCAAGCATTCGGGGTTGCCGCTGGAATACACGCAGAGGGGAGAGCTGACAGAGGGGCCGGAGGGCCTGCGGACGGGAGGCCCGGTGGCCACAGCACACGTTTAAAAGCCAACTCAGAGAAAGACAAGGTGGCCTCCACGTAATCCTGGAACAGTCAGCACATTCACGCAGAAATCTACAGCTGCAGAGTCAATCCCTCTTTGTAACAAGACGAGTTGGAAAGCTAACGGAGCGCAAAAACTGCCACCATTCTGCCAGCAACGGTCATCCATTCAACAGAAAAAGGCAAAACCATTCGGTTTTTCAATGAAAATCCTTCACATCCACCTGTGTTCAAAAATAATAACTTATGATATTAATAGCTTCCTTAAAAAAACGATCACCACAGAAGAGTTAAATCCTAAGTGTGGGAAGACCTATTTTCCTATGAATGTGGTTCTTAGGAAGGGACAGATACATATAGCATGTGTGAAAAGTAAGGCCGTGATATTTGTGTGTTTAACTTAAAGCTAAAGTTACAACAACAACAAAAAAAACCAGTTTTACACAAATTAAATGTTTCTTATTGCAAAAGAGCTCACTTTGACCAACACACAATAAACCAAGTAAAGGAAAACATTTATTGTTTTTCCCCATCTAAGGTGAACCTCTGCCTCCATGATGAGTACTGGCAGGAACCATGCTACAAGTTCCACGCCGGGGAACGTCACTTGAGACGGGCTGGCCGAGGGGCCATCACCTCACAACTGGTGATGTGGCACATGGGGCAAATTTGGCCAGATTCAATCATAAATGTACTCGTTGGTGGACACGGAACTCATTAGGGGAGACCCTGCTCAACAGGTGAGTCACGTAAAACAGGACACTTGGCTCCCGGGACCGTTCTCTCTCACGGGACAAGCCTATGCAGCCTCCGAGTGCCTCTCATGCGTGAGGCACCTTACTTGCACACTCTAGACAAGACTTGCTTTTGGACAAAAATCGACTGCTAACGTTTCTCATCTCTAGCAATCACGTACACCTTGGAGGAAAAAAAAAAAGGAAAAAGTGATCAACATGAGAAAGCTGAACAATGAGAGTAAGCAAATCCAGAACGGAGAGGTCGGTCGCGCTAAAACTGCTCGGCACTTGTTCCATCACCGCCCACCGCGGGGGCTTGGGGCCGGTGACTTCATGGACGCGCCCTCCGATGCGCTGCCGAGTGTCAGCTCCAGTCCGTCACGGTGACCCCAGTGCGACGCTGTCTGCCTTCCATCCACCACCTTCTACCCGAGAGATCCAAGGGGGCCTTGGGTGCCACCAGCGCGGGACACGCGGGTGCCAAAGCACAAAACCCTTCCTAAAATCTGCACCTTGGACTTGGGCAAGTTAACACAGCAGTGGCCTGGAGTGTCGGCAACAGCATCCGCACTGGGGCTTAACCTCAGCAGCCAGCCTGGAGGATGCTTCCCCCAGAGCGCTTGGTCACCGACAAGGTTGTGAATACCTGCGGGGAGGACAAAGCATGAGATTTTCAGACACCTGAACAGATGAGTTAACAGGGAGTTAGAACAGACAGCACCATTCCTATCAAGAGTGACTTGGGGGACCACTTCAAATGAATAAAAACAGGAGAGTGACATGACCAGGAATGTGACAGCTTCTCCCGAGGATAAAAGGGGAAAGACATTTTAAAACCAAGGTAAAAGAAAAAAATTTAGATTATAACTAATGAAGAACTTTATTACCATGAGGGTGATTAAAACAATTAAATGAGACGCCCCGGCTGGTCGTCAATTCTCTAAAAGAACTGCAGGGTGAAATATTTTGGATGTGCAGAAAGGTATAAAGTGTACTATTACAAAATCCCTGTGTTCATATACTCAGCTCAGGGATTACAAATGTGGTTAGAGCCCCACGTGTGTCCCCCCCCATCACCTCCTTCCTCCCCTCCCCCAGTCAGTGCTCACCATTCCTACATATTCCCTGCATTCCTTTTGGAGGTTTTTCACAACCTTGCATCTAAATAGCAAGATGACAGATGCACTGTTCTGTCGTCTGCGTCCTGGGCCCCAGTATTCCTTGGAAATACTGTATTTCCGTAATTCACCCATATGGATACAAATGGCTCTAATTCTTCCATTTGTCACTGAATAGTATTCAGTTCCTCTAGTATACGATACATACTGTAGACTACAGAACTCAACTATCAAACAGTGAATATATTACACATTACACACCCAGGCTCCTAGAGCTGGCTATCCCTGCTACTGCCGATACGCTGTTTGCGACAGGCTCCGTGATGTCCCAGTCGTCTCCCTGCACCCAGAGCTAGACACACAATTGATGGGTTGGAGGCTATGCGTCACTTCTAGGCGACTGGATCCCCAGGGTGCCTGACCAACTGATACTTTCATCTGCAGTGACTGATGAGACCACCTCGTGTCATATCCTTACAAACACTCAGTGCTTACGGACTTAGAGCCTTAACATCGTCAGGCAGCTGTTTTATTGGCTACTGTGCAAGAGGGTCTATACAAAAACAATGATTCTCATACTTTGGTGAACAAAGTCTATTCACATTGATTAAAACACACAGAAATTATACTGATCTTAATATGGCAGATTTAGGGTAGGGCCCAGGAATCTTATTTTTAGCAGGAGTCCCAAATGGCCTGATCCGTTCTAATGCGGGTATGCCCAAGCACCACACAGTAGAATTTCTTGTGGAGTGCCAATGCAGGCAATGCACTGCGAATTCTTGGCCCAATCCAAAGTCTGGAAGTCTACCGATGGTAAGCTACCATCAGTTGCTTACCTTTGTAGTTTTACCAAATAGGAAGCCTACAGTCAAGATTTTTAGAAACCTAATACTTCTATACATTTAGAAACAGATTTTTATTCCTGATCTAATGGAGTAATTGGTACCACACCAGCTCTCTGGACAAAACACCAGACAACAGGCAGTGACTGTAATTCCCCAACAAAGAGAAACAAACAAGGTGAGCCTTCAATAGGCCTGGCTTTCCATCTGGAAGCATCTGCAAGACCCTGGTGCAGTAGGAGGAAGGAGCCCAGAGAGAACACAGACATCTCCGGGCCGACTCGAAGAGACAGAGTGGAGGCTGGGGAGGCAGAGGCGGCTGGGACTTGGGGGGTCAAATTCCCAAGAGGCAGCCACCCCGAGGAAGAGCTGTCCCCTCATCTCTGGCTGAATACCAAGCTGTGCACACCTAGAGGGCAGGGCTCCATGAAGCTAGAGAAGACACAACACCAGACAGAGAGCTGGAAGCTGACCACCACCAGAACCCACTCAGGGCTGGGAGATGCTCCAGTTCTCACTAACCAGAGTCAAGAGGCTTCTCTGAGCAATCAGTAGAGACCCTAGAAAGCCACATCTAAAAACAGCGTTGGGGCGCCTGGGTGGCTCAGTCGGTTGGGCATCCGACTTCGGCTCAGGTCATGATCTCACGGTCCGTGAGTTTGAGCCCCGCGTCGGGCTCTGTGATTCTGTGTCTCCCTTGCTCTCTGCCCCTCTCCCACTCATGCTCTCTCTTGCTCTCTCTCTCTCTCTGTCTCAAGAAAATAAACATTAAAAAAAATTAAAATAAATAAAATAAAATAAAATAAAATAAAATAAAATAAAATAAAATAAAAATAGGGCTAAGCATTACTAGCGCCAGAATAAAAGCTACTCTAAACCACCCTAACAAAGCGTAAAAGCAAGTTTCCAAAGGATCAAATGATGCACAAGGACATTAACGGTCTACCACAAAAACAAAAGCAAAAACAAAACTCAGTACTCTTTCGAGGAAGACAACAAAGCACAAAGTGCTAAATAAACAAAAAAACCTGTCAACCTGGAACTTCCTTCCATGAAGAAGAAAGCAAAATAAAGACATTTCAGACAAAGAAAAGCTAAGAGACTTTGTCACCAGCAGACCTCTACTACCAAAAAATGTTAAAGGAAGTTCCTCCAGCTCAGGGAAACGTAACAGAGGGATAACACATTTTCCCATCACCTGCCTGCTGCTCGCCACCCAGGGCGAGCCCCTCCTCCCTCCTCCGTAACTCCTCCTTCTGCCAGGCTGGGCTTTGGATCCCATCCCCTCACCTTCTCATTTCACACATCACCTTTTGATTCTTCACCTTGCCTTTTCCATTGGTTCTTGCTCCTTAGCATTTAAAAGGGCTCACACTGCATTTATCCTAAAACAATCCTCCCTCAACCTTAGGATCACCTCTACCACCACCGTCTCTGATCCTCTTTACAGACACAATCTTAAGCTGTCAGTACTCATCGTCTATTTTTATCCCTCATCTCACTGAAATCTGGCTTCCATCCCCGCCAGGCCAACGAAGCACCTCTCCTGTGGTTCATCAGGGACTCACCGGCCGCCAAACCCAGAGGGCACCTTGCGGTTTTCCCCGCGCACAGCCTTCTGTAGCCCTCGTCGCCGACCTCACCTCCCTTTTGACAACTCCCTCTTTCCTCTTCTTGTCCCGTGAGAATGACCGTGCCCACATCCCTGTCTCGTGGCCGCCCCCCACCACGGCACCAGGCCTGCCGGGACGCTCATCTGCCCGGGCTGATGGGCCGAGCCCCCGGAAGGCGGGCCGTGCAGCCCAGCCACCTGCTCTACTTACTCAGTGTGCCGCACAAATGCTGCCACTGAGGCCGGAAGGCGCTGCCCAGGGCGTCCACCCCCAGCGCTCCCCCCGGACACCCTCGCATCACACATCTCATTCAGCCCACCTCTCCCTTTCAGGCAGATGAATCCACTATCTCCCCAGCCACGGTGTCCCTCCTCAGCTACACGCCAGTAAGACCTAACGAACACCTCTTCCCGGATGGCACGTCAACCTCACCACGTCCAAGACTGAGCCCTTAATCCGGCTCCTTGGTGAATGCCATTACCAGGCCATGCATCCGGAATTAATGCTTAATTCTTCTGTCTCCGTTGCTGCTGCTAAGTAATCAATTATGAGGTCTGATCCCACTCCTCCGTCAAATCTCATCTTTGTGTTAACACTGACACTTAGTTCCTGTCTTTATCATTCTGACTGAACTCCTCTGAGACTTTTGCTAGTTTCCAAAACATAGAGTGCCTTCACCTCCCTGTGAAGACCTTTTGTGTAGACCACACATTATATACTCTTGCCCTATTAGATGTTAGGGGCCCAGGGCTTGCTTTGACTGGGGACACATGTATGGAAGTGGGATGTGTCATTTCTGAAAATCCTGAGCACCAAGGCACACATTTTTACATGTCCTTCCCCTCTGCCACTTAGCCAGAAACGCCCCGGGAAGGGGCTGCTTTCATCAGTGGGGCCTGGAGCAAAGCGGCATAGGAGTAGGGTCGCAGCTGATCCACGATGCCCACAGAGCACCGGTGAGGAACAGACCCAAATCGTCACCCAAACTGTCCATCCGTATTGCCCAGTCACGAAAACATAAAAAGGCTTTGTGTTCAGTTAATCAAACTTAGAAACATATTTGGCTACTGAGTATAATTAAGATTGCGATCCAAACCTTTTTGGCCACACCAAGCAAGCTAGAGGGAAACACTGGTATGTTTCTAGCCTCCCCTACATACAGGCCAAGCTTTTGCAGCCACACTAAGCGTCTAGTAAGACTGGAGGGCCATGGCTTAGGTGAGTCCCCAGGGGATGCAGGACTCACAGAGTGCCCGTATCCTTGTTGGCACACCTGGACAAACCTTTTGGTCAGCCACCCCTTTGATTCCTGAGAAATAACCGCTTTCCTGGTTTTTAATACAAAGAGGAAAAAGTACAAGAAATCAAGGCCACTTTCACTTATGCAAGTCAAAGCAATAACAATCAGCACCAAAACTACCTCTGAATAAAAGGAGAAAATACTTTTATGGACAGAAGGAACATTACTGAGAAAAGTCCTTGGTCCATTTCAATCTTAAAGCAGTGACAACGCCTTTTTACTTCCTGCATCAGCACCTTATCATCAGCACCTTAAAAAATGCAGACCCGATGGACAGTATTTTAAAACATTACAAAAATGAAGCCAGGAGAAAATATGAATGATTCACATTTAAAAAAAATAATAAGACACTCATCTGTTAGCAAAGATATGTAAAAGTCTTTGAAACTTTACAAGCTTAAGTTTTACTTCTCAGGAATTATTTTAGAAATAGAACTGGTAGATTTGGATAGAAAACTAAGCCCATCAGGAGCACCTGGGTGGCTCAAGTCCGTTAAGAATCCAAGTCTTGGGGCGCCTGGGTGGCGCAGTCGGTTAAGCATCCGACTTCAGCCAGGTCATGATCTCGCAGTCCGTGAGTTCGAGCCCCGCGTCGGGCTCTGGGCTGATGGCTCAGAGCCTGGAGCCTGTTTCCGATTCTGTGTCTCCCTCTCTCTCTGCCCCTCCCCCGTTCATGCTCTGTCTCTCTCTGTCCCAAAAAAATAAATAAACGTTAAAAAAAAAAATTTTTTAAAAAAAGAATCCAAGTCTTGGTTTCAGTTCAGGTCATG